TTGCAGCCCTGACAGATGCTCCCTCAAAGGGTGAGGCCAAAATGCAGAGTCCCTGGGGAGGGGTGGAAGCTGGGAGAGGCAGGGTCAGGCAGGCAGGAGGGAAGAGAGATGGATTCCAGTGGGGATGGGGATGAAGATGCCAGCCCATGCCCAGGGCGGGAGGTCAGGCTGGGGACACACGGAGAGTGCCTCCAGGGCAAGGGCTGGGCCTGCTCCCCTTGTACAATTGCCGTGCCTAGCTTGGCGCTCCCTCTGCCCATGAGATGCCCAGCAGAGAGCCCTGGCATCACTCTGTCAGAGACCAGATCAGGAGGGTATGTTTGCTACCCTCGGTGGACACTACCTGTGAGCCAGGCCATGTGTCAGGCAGGTCCCATGTTCCCCTCCTTCCATTCTCACAACACACCCATTTTGAAGGTGAGAAAACTGAGGCTGGGAGAGGTTAATAATTTGCCCACTGCTGCCTGGCCCGGAGGGCATGGTGCAGGCAGGTCAGCTCCTGGCAGCCTGGCTCCAGACCCTGTCCCCTTAGCCACTCGACTAGACTGCTAGTTCAAGATGCTCAGAGAAGCTGAGGGAGGACATGCCCAGGGTCACTGGGCCCAAGAGGCAGTGCAGGACTCCCAGCTCCCACCTTCCCCCCTCTGGTCCCATGCCACCCTCTGGTGGGCCCTCTGCAATGGGGAAAACCCAGGCTTCAGGATTCCCATGAAGGGGAGCTCCCGGCCCTGTCCTGGCTCCAAGAGGCCTTGGGCAGCTGGGGAAGTTGGGGCTTGGGATTCTTAGGGAACCAGGGGATGAGGGAGTCGTCTTCCTACTGCCTCATGGCACCAGCTTGCTCTGCTGCACTCCAGGGGCCCTCGAGTCCCCTGAGAGCGAGCATAGTGGCCGCTAGATGGCACTGTGACTCAGCAGAGCAGAGGCAGCCACCAGAATCAATGGTGTCTGGAGACGAGGCTTACCCTCCCCCTCCTGCAGAGCCAGTAGGCCGGTGCCAGGCAGCGCCATTGCCTGGCAGCCTCCCATGTGACTTGGCCTCTCCTGCTGCCCTGAGCATCCCGGCCAGGCAGCTGCTTCAGCCACAGCAACCTGGGACTGCAGTTCGAGCCCCGAGTGCCAGGGGCTGCATCCCAGTGGGGGCAGGGCCTGCCCCTCCACCAGCCCCTCCCCTCCTGCAGGCTGGAGCTGGCTTCTCAAGTTGGAGGTCATCAGAAAGGTCAGCTGGCTGTGGCAGTTTAGGCATCTGGAGATGGGGATGGAANACCCTCCCCCTCCTGCAGAGCCAGTAGGCCGGTGCCAGGCAGCGCCATTGCCTGGCAGCCTCCCATGTGACTTGGCCTCTCCTGCTGCCCTGAGCATCCCGGCCAGGCAGCTGCTTCAGCCACAGCAACCTGGGACTGCAGTTCGAGCCCCGAGTGCCAGGGGCTGCATCCCAGTGGGGGCAGGGCCTGCCCCTCCACCAGCCCCTCCCCTCCTGCAGGCTGGAGCTGGCTTCTCAAGTTGGAGGTCATCAGAAAGGTCAGCTGGCTGTGGCAGTTTAGGCATCTGGAGATGGGGATGGAAATGCTAGTCCTCTACACACCTCTTGTGTGACCTTGGGTGAGTCCCTTCTCTCTGGACCTCAGTTTGTTCTCGTGTAGTATGAGAGATTCTCCTAGGCTGCATAGCTGTCCCGCAGATGGGTGCTGCATGGCTTGGTTCCATGGAGGTCATCAGAAAGGTCAGCTGGCTGTGGCAGTTTAGGCATCTGGAGATGGGGATGGAAGTGCTAGTCCTCTACACACCTCTTGTGTGACCTTGGGTGAGTCCCTTCTCTCTGGACCTCAGTTTGTTCTCGTGTAGAATGAGAGATTCTCCTAGGCTGCATAGCTGTCCCGCAGATGGGTGCTGCATGGCTTGGCTCCGGGGTCCTCAGCTCCCTGACTGCACAGCTGGCCGTGGCGAGCTTCCCTCCCAGCCTGCTCAGGGCCCTGCTCATCCCTGCCTGCTTCCCTCCCTGCTTCCCAGGCCCCCCTGCACCAGCCTGGCACTGAGCACTGGCCCCGTGCCCAGAGCCTCAGCCATCAGGCCGGGCTCAGGATGGCGGCCCTTACATTTGGGGTCCATCCTTGGGGCTCAGGGGAGCACTCTGGACTAGTTTTCCAGCCAGATGTCCATGTGTCATTAGCTGAGTGCCAAGCGGGGCTGCAGGGTAGCTTTGGGGAGTTTGTTGGGCAGGGAAAGGGTGGGTTGGGGAAGGCAGACAGGATTGTAACATGGTGGGCCAAATAGGTTCTTGTCAGCCAAATGGCTTTTGGAAGTCTGCAGAGCTGCTCTAACGTGTCCTCTGGGCACGCCAGCTGCCCCAGCCTCCCCCATGCCTCCACAGAAGCCACCATTTCTTCCCGGAGCTGCCCCATCCTTCCAGTACAGCCAGGCACAGTTGGCTGGGGCTCCCATCCCCACTGTGCACCTCAGCTGTCTCCTCTTGGTCCCTCCTTCTCCCCCCTCAGTTCCCTGCCAGCCCAGCCTGTGTGAACAATGCCCCCTTCCTGCTCAAACCTCTGCGTTCTTTTATTTTGCGCATAGCCTGCTCTGCCAGTCCTTCCCCCCCCCCCCCCCCCCC